ATTCCTACATAAGGAGTTCCTTTCCAGTTTGAGTCTGCTCATAACACATCTCAACGTTTTGACTGAAACATCTTTATTTTTTTTAATTCTACTGAAAAGGTGTCTTCACTGGTTACAGAATTCTAGGCTGGAAATTTATTTTCTTTCAGCACTTTTAAAAATCTCATTCCATGGTCTACTGCTTTCCATCGTGTCTGTGGTAAGTCAGCTGTCCAGATTATTCTTGTTCCTTTGAAATTAATATATCTTTTGGCTTTTTTTTACCCTATTGTCTTTATTTTCCGCTGAAAATAGATTATTTAGATTATTACTAAGTATGATTTTCCATTGTGTGTAGTCCTTGAAAGGTTTTTAATGTAGAGCGATAGTCTTTTGTTAATTTTGAAAAAGAGTGCTGTTAAGTGTTGCTTCTGTCCATTTTTCTCTCCATTCTCAGGACTCCAATAGGTTACATCTTTTCACAAGATGATAGGTATCTCAGACTGCCCAATTTCTTTTTTTCCAATCTCTCACCGCTCCATATTTCTGTCTGGTAATTTTTTTCATCTACTTTCCAGTTCACAAATCTTCTCTTTATCTAAGACCAATATGCTACTAAATAATATGTATAGTTACTAAACAATATGTTACATCTGTTAAGAAATTCTGGTGTTGTATAGTTACCATTTAATTCTGTCTTAGGAGTTACAGTTCTCTGGTGAAACTCTATAATCCCATGTTTTCTTTTTTCCCTTAGATACAATAAGCAGAGTTGTTTTTTAAACATGTCTGATTACTCTAATGTCTGAATTATCTCTGAGTCTATTTCAGTTTTATTGCTTTTCTCTTAGCATGGGAATGTAATTACTGTTCCTATGTTTTAAGGGGGGGAAAAACCTGCTTGTAAAAAAAAAAAAACCCTATACTCTCTGGATGATCTCTCTAGAGAGATTTCATCTTATCTTTTCTGGCAAGCAGCTACAATACAAGATTATATATCCTTATACCCGTCCAATCTGGGTCTTAAGTTTGTCAGGAATCAGGAGCTTGGACTCCCTCATGTTTTATGTTTAATTTTTACTTTCCTGGTGCAGTTTTTCAATAGTGAAAACAGTATTTAGATATTTCCTACCAACACCAATTCTTGGTGTATGCTAAATGAAACTCCCAAAAGTATATTTTTTCTTCATAGCTGTAGTCTCCATAGCTGCACCCTTATCTCTAGAGAACTTAAGAATGCGCACATCTTATAGGTGAGAAGTGTCAGTGTAGAGCTCAGTGCTTGCAATTCAACATGTTTCTTTTTTTAAGCAGTGCTGGGATTTGAACCCAGGGTGTTAAGCTTGCCAGGCAGCTCCTGAAACTCCCTTTTCTCAACCACCTACAGCTCCATCCCTGGCTATCTTGGCAGCTCAGTACTCCTGTTAAGAGCTTTCTTCATTGTGTTTTTAACTCAGTGTCAGTAATGAGGGGGGAATGGGAGACCACCAAAGTCCACATACGCTCCCCGGGGCGCCCCTGAGGTCTGATTTGGAGGAATAGGCTCTTTCTCTCAGGAATACCCTTTTTTGTAAGCTTATACCTAAGGAAAGCATTCTCCTCCTTTCTGGGGGCATCTACATTTCTGAAGCTGTGACTTATTCTATGTCATTGTTGTGATGAGAAACCTAAAGTTTGAAAGTATCTGGGCACGATGAAAGGGTGAAAAATCACTCCTTGTTGCCCCATTAAATATATTTACTAAAAAAAAAAAAAGAAATGACTAGACATTTTCTTTGAACCCAGCTCTCTGTGTGAGATGCTTTCTCTACAGATTATCTCAGACCTAAGAAGAAACCATGAACGTAGTCAAGGTCATGACCCTTGAAGAAAGCGAATCTTAAAAAAAGATTAAGTCAACTTGAAGTCCAGATCCATTGAAGTAAATGTCACACTCGAAGTTGAACTCAGATTTTTCTAACAAATTTTCTTTACACCCTCTTGCCTCGCCCTCTTCCAACATAATGAGTTCCCTGATTTCAGTGAGTGCTGGAATCCTCAGGCTTTTCCTTAAATCCAGTGAGAACTGAGTAGTCTGAGGTGTTCCATACAGATATTTCCCCTTATTATAATAGTTCTCTGGGCTATTTCCAGGTTCTTCCTATTCCTCCCCAGCCCTGTTTTGATTATCTGTAGAATATTAAACACTGCCATTTTTCCCTTCAATGGCAAATCAGTAATTTTTGTTTGAAACAAAGCTTTGTGTAGGTACAGGAAGCAGTTAGTGGTAGGGCTTTTATTTTCAGAGGATTAGGTTGGCGAGAGGCCAGGGGTTCGGAGGAGTGCTTGCTGCACCGTCTCGATGATGAGTTGTGGGAAGTGATAGGTCAGCCTACAGCTGGATGCTCAGTGCTTCCAGCGAGTCAGCCAGCAAGTTCTCCCCAGCCTGGGGTTGTAGCAGAGACTAGCTACGCCAGGTGAAGCCCCTCTCTGCCCCGCCCTGTGAGACAAGGAGGCTCTGCCTGCTCCATGTGAGTCATTAGCTTACTATCGTGGAGGAGCATCATGCATGTGTATGACTTTCCCCCAGTGCTCAGGAGAAAGATCTACTAACTCTCCAGGTAGTCTGGAGGACGACTTTGCAAAATCTACCTCTGAAGCAACGTGTTGCCCTTTGATGCGGCTTCAATGTTACTAGGACTTTGAAAACAGTATGGAAAAGCAAGAGAGAGGGACAGTGCTTCAGAAAAATGGGCAGATGTGTGAAAAGGGTCATCTTTTCTTGGTTGAAAATGTGCATGTGGCAAAAGACGACAACAAATGATCATGGTGTTGGATTAGGATGATGGATCCCTGAGAGAAGGGAACTAGGTGATTACTTTTTTTTTAGTCAGTCATGGAGCTTGAACCCTGGGCCTGGGGGCTGTCCCTCAGCTCTTCAGCTCAAGGCGAGCGCTCTACCACTTGAGCCACAGCGCCACTTCCAGTTTTCTGGGTGGTTTATTGGGGATAAGAGTCTCACGGACTTTTCCTGCCCAGGCTGGCTTTGAACCGCGATTCTCAGATCTCAGCCTCCTGAGTAGCTAGGATTACAGGCGTGAGTCACCAGCGCCCAGCTGATTATTTTTATTTTAAACTACATTTTTTCAAGTTTGATAAATATGTGCAGATTCTAACACTTATTCTCAATGTGATCCTTGAGTATTTTAAACAGTTATTCACTGGGGAAAACTGGCTTTTCTTCCCCCCCAACCTTGTTTGGACTCTTACGGTCTGCACCTGGTCATGTATTAGGCATTTAGTTCCTTGTGAGCATGAAAAGAGATGGTGTCACATCTTCTCCATAGGAAACTGCTGCTCACAGAGTTGGAACAGGAAGTGTTTTGGTTGCACAATTGGACTGCCATTACCACCTGGAATTTGGTATTAAGTGGAGAGCACTGAGGATAAAGCCAAATGTTTTGCAAAGCAGAGTATGGAAAAGTTCCCCCACTTAAGCAGTAGGGCTCTCGTTTCTGTTTTGCAATCCATTGATAATGTTGAAAGGTCTTTTATATTTCTGACTCTGGTTATTTTCCTGGGATTATTATATAATTTAATGCTGTTTTCATGGATTTATTAAGGTATTGATCTAGAACAAGTTGTACATAGCTGTAATGTATGATTTAACATGTAACGCATCTCAATAAGGATGATGACTAGAGCCCCTCTAGATTTTATGGTATTTCATTTTCTAAAGTGACAAAACAAGCAGTTGTAGAGAAAGTACACCCTAAGGCAGGCTCTAGCAAGGGATAGCAGTGGAGAGAGGGACGGTAGTATGAGAGAGAGGTCACAGAGGAAAGAGGAAGAGGTGAGTGAGTGGTGTATTTAAGAGAGGGCAACTGGTAAGCAAGGAGCAGAGAAGAGGAAGCTGAGAGGCGAGAGACAGGGAAGAGAGGCCCTCTCATCCGTCCCCCCTCCTCTGGACCCCGCAGCTCTCCCCCACCCCCCCGATTTCCCACCACACTCTGGTAGGGACCTCACCTCTCTCTCACGCGCTCTGGACCTCTTTCTTTCTGACCTCTCATCTCAAAAACTCTCCTCTTTCTCTCTTTCTCTACTGACCTCTCCTTGGACAACTCATCGCTTTCTGTGTCTCTGCTGCACCTCTCTCAAAAAGAGAGGAGAGCTCGAGAGAGAAATGTGGAGAGAGAGAGGTCCACACATATATACGTGTGTGCACACACACACACATATGTAGACATATATAGGTAAGATCTGGAGAGAAAGGTGAAAAGTCCAGAGACAGACAGACAGAAAGATATGTGAGATCCAGAGAGAGAGAGAGAGAGGGACAGAGGGAAGGGCATCAAGGGGGATGGGAGGGAGAGACAGCCAGAGAGGAGAGAGAGAGATCAGAGAGAAGACTGATAGAGGCCAGAGAGAGAGGAGAGAAACAGAGACAGGAGAAAAGAGGCGAGGGACAGGTGAGAGTGTGTAGAGGGCTAGGTCGGGAAGGGCCCAGAAATGTCCAAGAGAGGAAGAGCACAGAGTCCTTTGTGAACCATGGTGAGGCCTGGGAGGAAGGGAGGGGTGGGAAGGGGTACAAGGAGGACAAATGGGTTGGAAAGAGAGAGGAAGGGGAGTGGGGAGTGTGGGGAGAGCGAAAGAGAGGGGGAAGGCAAGAAGCAGGCTAGCGAGGGAAGAGAGGAGGGAAAGCAGAGAAGAGAGGCAGGCAGGGGAGAGGGAGATACCGGAGAGAGGAGAGAAAGAGGGGAAGAGGAATGAGAGGAAAGAGAGAGCAGAGACAGGAGAGAGAGAGAGAGAGAGAGGGAGGGAAGAGAGATGGGAGAAAGGAGGAGGAGGAGGGAGAGGACATAGAGAATGGAGAAAGGCGGGAATAGGAGAGGGTGGTATGAGCGGAGGAGGGTAGACATGGAGAGGGGTGAGGGAGAGGAGACTGAGAGGTGAAGGGAGGGATAGAACCGAGAGAGGGAGGAAGAGAGAGATGAGATAGTTTAAGGCAAGCATTCTTACTTACGGAGTCCAGTTTGGAGAATCGAACCTGGGCAGGGACTCAGCTGATGGGTGGCCTCCAATCGCTCCCAAATTGACTCAATGCAATTCCCTGAGCAAATTCATTTTCCCAGCCCTGAAAGCTGAGAGGCTTGGATTTGATGGTCCCTCAGGTGCCCCGGGAGTACGGAAGTTCAATAACGCAAAGAGGTCGGGGCTACTTAAGATATTATTGGTGTGTGTCCAAATGGTTTTATGTAAAAACGTGAGCGTCTCCAGGGGCTGGGTGTCAGCTGTGGCCCTCACCCTAACCTGCTTTGCTTGATTGGTTATCAGGAAATCATTTGCTTTTCAGTCGCTTTCACCCTGATTCAAAGTCACTTGTCATGGATTCCGTGTGGGTCTGGCGAAGCTGTAGGAAGCGCTCTACTTAAGAATTTAGAGCTGGGAACTTGGCAGGCCTTAAGCAAAGACTGATGAGAGATGCCAGGGTGGTCAGCTCTCCAGATAACTTTGAGGCAGCTTGGGCAATTTATGGGGGGCGGGGGGTGGGCAGAGCACACACTGTATTATAGCTTTCAGGACTGGGGGAAGGGCTGCAGAATGGAGTTTAATTAAAATTCGGGTCCCAACGTGGCCCATCTTCCTTGCCAAGTCAGCAGCTAGCATTTCTGTTTGTAGTGCTGGTGATCTCGCTGCGATGACAAACTTAGTTACCTCGAAAATTCTGGCCAGTCTGCCTAAAACGTCAATATGTGAACCAGATGTTCTACCAAGGTCTGGCACACTGCTGTTCTTTGCCTGTGATTTCAGAGATACCTGATCGACCACCGCTGGGAGGGAGGAGGCTGGGAAAGGATCTGGGAAAAGAGCTGGTGACAAATGAGAAAACCATCGTATTACACAGCTTCACACCTTTCCAAATGGCTTCTGTGTTCCAGGTAGCTGAGTCGGATTTCTGAGGAGGGGCTGCTCTGCCTTCGTCTTGGTCCAGCCATGAAGCTCTTCCTGCTTTGTGTCTGCACGCTGCTCCTGATGGCTTCACAGCTGAGGGCAGTCAGCTTTCCCGAAGATGAGGAGCCCCTCAATACCGTTGACTACCACTGTAAGTGATCCGAAGCAGTGTTCTCTCCTAAGAAGGAAGCATATTCATTTTCAGAACCGGAGAGAGATTTTTGCCTGTTAATTTATTCGGTCATCATTTCACTGTATTTGAAAACAGCGGAACAGTTTGATCGCTTTTCTGGCAACCCACATAGAGGTACAGATAAAGCTTCTATATATCCCATATACTTTTTGAGTATAAACAAAAGGACCCATTATGTTATCTATTTTCCGTAAAAAAAAAAAAAAAGAAAAAGACCGTTTGCTGACATTTGCTGCCTTTTATTCATTTATATTCAAGACCTTAAGAGAGGAATTTAGTTAAAACCTTTCTACAACTAGTATATACAGCTAATCAATGCTGTCTATTGATTCTTCAGCTCCATAATCCTGACTGATGGTTTAGCCCATTTTTACTTGCAGATTCAAGGCAATATCCGGTTTTTAGAGGGCGCCCTTCAGGCAATGAATCACAACACAGGCTGGACTTTCAGCTGATGTTGAAAATTCGAGACACACTTTATATTGCTGGCAGGTAATTTTCCTCTCATTGGTTTATTAGATTAAAATTCTTTTCTCTTGTGGTGCTTGCATTAATGTGTCTAGTTCATGAAAAACTAATATGTGATTGTGATCGAGAATTGCAAGTAGCCAAAAATATTCATGGAGTCAGTGTTGTATACCAAAAACAAAATACAGGGCTAAAAAGCCTTCAGCACTGCTATTTTATTACTGCCATCAAAAAACCATACACCATTCTTTTTTTTTTTCCCTAAAGCAGCAGGGAAAAAAAATCGTTCCTTCTTATTCTCTTTTAACTCAGAATTGTTGGAGCAAATACTAGAAATATACCTATGCTAATACCAATTGGCAGTTTGACTCAGGCTTGGAGAACTTGCTTTTGATTATACAAATATATATATGTAAAACATATATACATATATATGTATGTATATGTGTGTGTGTATATATATATATATGCACCTCAGTAATGAAAAAGAACTCTGTTAAGCTTGTTTGGGACAGAGACGATCCAGAGGCTCTCCAAAACATGATAAAGGCAGATATGTAAAACTAAATAAGCAGCAACTTCACATTTTTACGCATTCAACATGATTTGACTTCTTCCCTTATCTCCACCAGGGATCAAGTTTATACAGTCAACTTAAATGAAATCCCCAAAACAGAAGTCATTCCAAGCAAGGTGAGCCATTACAATTAGGAAATTTCTTTGTGCTTACGTAGGACTTGAGGTATTATTCCCCCCTCCAAATATGTCCCTACTGAACCCCGATTTGCTTAATACAGAAGCTGACATGGAGGTCAAGACAACAGGATCGAGAAAACTGTGCTATGAAAGGCAAGCATAAAGTGAGTGGAGCAGACAAGGACCCCTAGAGTCAGAACATTCCAGAACATCTGCATATGCAATGTGTAACATCAATGTACTTACTCTCTTTAGGATGAATGCCACAACTTTATCAAAGTATTTGTTCCCAGAAACGATGAGATGGTTTTTGTTTGTGGTACCAATGCATTCAATCCCATGTGCAGATATTACAGGGTAAGCGTGCTTTTTGATCCTGTTTGGTCTTCACTGGACTACTATTCACGTGGAGTCCTTTTCTCTATGTTCCAGAAATTTCTTTGATCGCTAATGCACTAAAAATAAGCAAAGAAGACTTCTTCAAGTACAATTTCGATCTAAATAAAGCAATATTGCATTCAGACAGGTACATTGAACACATGTGACAAGATCTATTTATTTTTCTTTTATAGTTGAATACCTTAGAGTATGATGGGGAAGATATTAGTGGCCTGGCAAGATGCCCATTTGATGCCAGACAAACCAATGTTGCCCTGTTCGCTGGTAAGAACCTGCAGCACCCTGACTATGAATGATTAATTACACTGACTACAAAACGAATTTAAATGGGGGAGGAATTAAAAAGCTCCTAACTTTGGCAGACACAGGTATCTCAAAGGCTCAAATGCAAACTATTTTTATAAAGAAAACTTAAAAAGCCCACGTATCTCAGTGTATGTTATACGTCTCCTGACATGTGGCTGGCTCTGTTGTTAACTAAGCTAGTGACCCCTGAGTAAGTTCCTTAATTGTGGATGTTTATACCCCTAATCTGTAAAATGAGGTAATATGATGGGACAGCGGGTAAGAGGCTGAGCGTCAGGTATGTACTTATCTGACTAGATAATGGAAGCAGGTGGAAACGCTGGAAGGGGTCTAAACACACTGCTACATAATTATGGTTATTTTACCCAATTATCATTTTGGTTTCAGATGGGAAACTATATTCTGCCACAGTAGCTGACTTCTTGGCCAGTGATGCTGTGATTTATCGAAGCCTGGGAGACGGATCTGCTCTTCGCACCATAAAATATGATTCCAAATGGATAAAAGGTACCTTTGAAGAGCAGTGGACGTGGGCGGGGCGGCTTGGGAGTGAGCAGCAGCCAGCGCCGGCCAGAAGTTGAGTGCAGGACTCTGGTAGTTCCCGCTTTGGTGGTGGATGGGAGCATTGGTCGAAAAGGGGAGCCTAGTGGGCATGCCAGGAAGAAGCTCATCCAGGAGCCCCAAAACAAAAACCTAGGGAGCACTCCTGTCTGGTGTACCAATTTGTCTAACTGCAAAGGCAGATAGCATACTTCCCCACCCCCGTCTGCCCACCTTGTTAAGTTACACTCAGAATCCATGAGGAGAATCTGTGAGCCCACAGCTTCAGTCATTTGGTTCTTGAGATTCTAACAACTGACTTTTTTTTGTTATCCTCAGGGTAATAAGTTTTCTTCCCTAGTTAAGTAGGTTAATGAAGAAATCTGTTGAAACAAAGATCTTTGCTGCAGTATAGTTCCCCGTAGGACTTTTTACAGTCCATTAGCTGACTCCAAAGACATTCACAGGCTCCCTGAAGCTTGAACCCCCACCCATCTTGGGGCTCCTGGAAATCACTACCTTGGTGCGACTCTCCAGCATCTGTCTGTCATAGCTGGCAGTGGAGAGCTTAGGCTAATTACTTTTTTTGCTTTTTCTTTCAGAGCCACACTTTCTTCATGCCATAGAATATGGAAACTATGTCTATTTCTTCTTCCGAGAGATTGCTGTGGAACACAACAACTTAGGCAAGGTGAGTTCTGCAGGGTTGATTGGTATTGGGAGTTGAGGCTAGCTTTGCAGAGGGACAGATGATGTTTTGGCATGCAAACGTTTCCAGCATTCGGTTCAGGGCCTGGAAGGCTGAAGTCAGAGATCTAGGTGCTTTTTGGGGAGAATAATTTGCTGGAAACCCATGAATGATGACCAGAATGGGACAGCAACCTTAGGCCTTCAGAAGGTTGCATTGTTTAATATCACCACAAGCAGTACTCGCTACATGCCTCTGACCTTCCTCTTTAGAAATCCATTGATAGTCTAGTCTCTGACCTAGTCAAAAGGCAAGATTGAAAAAGTAGGGGATCTCGTTTAATTCAGGAAGTGATGGTAAATTATTTACATTTCTCCTATGCCAAGTTTAAAGACCACATATTTTTTTTCCCGTGAGGTACAGGTTAGGTGGTTACTATCTCCCAACTGCTGGGATTACAGGCATACGCCATTACATGGTCCTGAGACCGTACATCTCCTTAGCAATGTAAGAAGAGTCAACTCCCCCCCCCCCACTCTTTTGCTTTTCTCACAGGTAAATCTAGTTTGCCTTCTTCCTGTATAGATCCCTCAGGAGAGGGTGGCTACATACTTTTAAGCCAAATATCTTAAGCACGTCTAGTCTCTCATGGCGTTCCTATCGGCATTTGGTTCACAGTCCCGACCCATCCTCATAACCCATTGCTTTGTCTCTGTACCCGGACAGGCTGTGTATTCCCGTGTGGCTCGTATATGTAAAAATGACATGGGTGGCTCCCAGCGGGTCCTGGAGAAACACTGGACTTCGTTTCTGAAGGCTCGGCTGAACTGTTCAGTCCCTGGCGATTCCTTTTTCTACTTTGATGTTCTGCAGTCTATCACAGACATAATCCAAATCAACGGCGTCCCCACTGTGGTTGGGGTGTTTACCACGCAGCTCAACAGGTAAGAACCTGTCCCGGAGGCTTCTGGAGATGCTCCGTGCTCCCGCGCAGAGCCCGGGGGCCACGTGCCTGTTGTACCCCCCCCCCTTCTTCCTCATTGTTTTCTGCTTCTCATTGTTCTCAGCATTCCCGGTTCTGCAGTGTGTGCATTCAGCATGGAAGACATCGAGAAGGTGTTCAAAGGACGGTTTAAAGAACAGAAAACTCCAGATTCCGTTTGGACAGCAGTCCCCGAAGACAAAGTACCCAAGCCAAGGTAAAGACAACCCACTGAAAAGGATTTTTTTTTCTTGCACACAAAAATCCCCTGTGGTCACTGGTTGTGTCCATCCATCTTCAGAGAGCAGCTGGGCCAACCTCCCAGCCCAGGACTGGAGGTGGGGGTGGGGGGGCCTGGGCAGCATCTCAGACAAAGCCAGTAGCAGCCCCCCTGCAGACGGCGAGCACCCTGTGCTTGCCAATGTGGATGTCAGAGAAAGAGCATCGCTTCCGGGTCACCGTTGACTCTCCTGACCTCTCAGACTGGGCACTTCCTTCTTAGATACAGTTGCGGGGTGGGGGCGGGAAAAGAATCCCGTTTTTCTTCCAGGCCTGGCTGTTGTGCGAAACATGGTCTTGCGGAAGAGTACAAAACCTCCATCGACTTCCCCGATGAGACCTTGTCATTCATCAAGTCCCACCCCCTGATGGACTCCGCCGTCCCACCCATTGCCGATGAGCCCTGGTTCACAAAGACCCGAGTCAGGTGAGGCGGTGTGGGATTGGGCGCTGGCTCCTGTCCTGAGTTCTCTGGTGGTTGCCTTTCCCATCTGACTTGCCCCACCTCCTCTGGCAGGTACAGACTGACAGCCATCGCCGTGGACCGTTCGGCAGGGCCTCACCAGAACTACACAGTCATCTTCGTTGGCTCCGAAGCTGGCATTGTACTTAAAGTTTTGGCAAAGACCAGTCCTTTCTCGTTGAATGACAGCGTATTACTGGAAGAAATTGAAGCTTACAACCAAGCAAAGTAGGTCTATTTTATGAGAAAGCTCTTCAGCGCTGCTCAGAAATTTCTGGTGTATATTCCTACTCTTCTGCTCACTTCCTCTCAGCCTTTTAAATTAGTGGTCTTGGTTTGTTCGGTTTGGTTTTCTGGAGCCTGCTAGTGCACAGAGAGAGGGTGAATAGTTGATGAATGTGCATATAATTCAGTCCTCGTTGTCCATTTGTGGAAATGAGAATATTTTAGCACTACCCCTTGTATCTTCCAGATACGGTTCAGGATGCTACATAGGCACATATATTTATAGCATTGATAGTTTACTGGTTTCTTCAAACCAGAACGTAAGAAATTATTTGAGCAATTAAGAAAAACAAGATATAGGTAACAGAATTAGAGCCAAGGAAACATCTGGAGACACTTCAAACATGTGATGATTCCAATTATAGTAAAATAATAGAGCAGAGCGCCGGTGACTCACACCTGTAATCCTAGCTACTCAGGAGACTGAGATTTGAGAATCATGGTTCAAAGCCAGCCCGGGCAAGAAAGTCCATAAGGCTCTTATCTCCAATTAACCACCAGAAAATGAAAGTGGCCCTGGGGCTCAAGTGGTAGAGCGCTCACCTTGAGCTGAAGAGCTCAGGGACAGTGCCCAGGCCCAGAGTTCAAGCCCCATGACCGCCCTCCCCCTCCCCTCTCCCCAGCCCCCTCAAAAGAAAGCTACTAGAAGCTCCCAAATCCTTTACAAATGTAATCTTCGAAAACCCTCTGTCCCGCCAGAAGTTTAACCATCAGTGCAAATCACATGATTATCAGTCCCCAAACGATGTACCTGCTTGGCTTGCTATCAAGAACACTAAGATTTCCCCAGTCACTGCAAAGCCAAGCCATACATGCCTTGCACATGTAGCTTCTGACCCACTAAAAATATGTCTTCAAAAATCTCTCCCATAAAACAGGTGCAGCGCAGAGAGTGAGGAAGAGAAGAAGGTCATCTCACTACAGCTGGATAAAGACCGCCACGCTCTATTTGTGGCATTCTCCAGCTGTGTGATCCGCATTCCCCTCAGCCGCTGTGAGCGGTACGGATCATGTAAAAAGTAAGCTCACGTTTCTGTACTTACCCCGGGTCTTGGACCTTGATGGACGAGAAAATTCCAACCATGCTCTGTTTACTTGTCTACAGGTCTTGCATTGCATCTCGTGACCCGTATTGTGGCTGGTTAAGCCAGGGTACTTGTGGAAGAGTAGCAGTAGGGATGGCGTAAGTAGGCTTTGTCATGTTAGTGACCAACTGTCTTCTCCAGGATCTCTAAAGCTGTAACTTTTAGAAACTTCCCTTCTTCCTTCCTTCCTCACATTTTTGTTTGAGAAATAAGTCAAAAGAAAAGAAAACCTGAAATGTGAAGAAAGGAAGGGATCTTACATCAGAGAAATTGATACGGGGGGGGAGACAAAATTCCTTCTATCTCTACAACCAGCCTAGTTAAATTGTTAACACCGTTCAGCCAGTCAGGGTGAAATGTCAGTGTGTTCTGCGCTGGTTGCCCCTTGGGTCCCTATGAAGGCTCCTAACTGAAGACTTCTTTGCTTTCCATAACCACAGTGCTGGAGGGTATGAACAAGACACAGAATACGGCAACACGGCCCATCTAGGGGACTGCCATGGTAAGACAAAATCTTCCCTTCTCCTTACCCATGTCTTTTGGACCACATTTGCACGTGAACATTATTTTACACTCAGCCTTTGGAAGGACCCGGGACACACACCACCTAGCATTTAACTTAAAACTTCGCAAAAGCTGAGCTGTTTGGTCATGGGGGATATAAAAGAAAAATAACCTTTACTTTTTCTTTTTTTTTTCTTTTCCTCACCGTTTTACAATTTCATAGGAAAGAACAAAAATCTGGAGAAAAGTAGTCTAACCAGTAGGTTAATCTTTTTAAATTTGTAGGCTTTTCTTTTAACTTTTTTAAGTTACGTGGAATTCATAAACTTTTTTGCTTTCTTTTTGGTTACTTTTCACTGATTCCTGTTCCTTTAATTCCTTTAGAAATTTTGCCTACTTCAACTACACCAGATTACAAAATATTTGGCGGTCCAACATCTGGTTAGTTTTGTTTCATTTTTTTGAATTAACCACCTTTGCTTTCCTTGAGTTCAACATTTTCAACCCCTTCTCCCCCCTCCCTTTTGCGCAGTTTGGCAGCCCTTCATTTTTCTGCTTTGACTCATAACCCCACTTATGATGGTACCCAAAGACTTCTTCTAATTCTACACTCCCCCCCCCCTGTGTAGCATGTTAACAGTTCATCATTGAGCAAGGCACATCGTTTCAGAAAACTCCAACAGGTTCACGTGAACTGCATTCCAGCTGCACGCACGCCCACCCACCCACCCAAGCTTTCTTTCTCTCTCACTCCTTTGCATCGTGAATGTTTCCTCTGGTCATCTATATGGAATGGATGGCAGAATTTCATACTTTTCCCCTTCTCCCTTCACCTTCCCTAAGACCTAATAAACAAAATACACATTTCCCTGAAAATGTGTATTCGTGAGTTTTAAGGATTGTTTCGCGGTGATTCTGGGACTCTCTCTGAATGTCATAGTATCAGGAGCTCAGCTGGATGAAGCAGAGTTTTGATGTGTTAAGACATCCAGTGGTTCTCTATGCTTCTCAATCTGTATTGGCTTGGGAGCGTTCATCTGCGACTGCTGCCCCAGTAAAGAACGTGGAGCTAAGGTTTTAGCCTAAAGGCTTAATGTACTTACGTTTGGAGGGAAATTGCCTTGGTGGAAGTCAGTAATAGCCGTATAAAAAAAGTTAAGTAACTCTCAAATCCTGTTGCTGCTTCTGGGGTCCAGAGTAGTTCTATTCCTTGAGGTGAGGGGGAAGGATGGAAGATCTTATGTATCTAAACATCTTTGCTTTTGCTTATATTACTGCTTCCTCTTTGGAAGAAACTCTGTAGGCATTTCAGAACATAAAGCTAGGTGCCTTCTCTGCTATAGAAAGAGACCCTTAGTGGACAGGGTCAGGCAGAACAGGTTTATGAATATCAAGTGTTTACTAAGACATAACTAGGGTGGAATCAGATGGTAGCTTCCCCAGTGAAGGAAATAAAGGTCCAATCATCTATAAAAGCGCTTTCTTGGTCAAATCTACATAAAACGAAATTACAGGAGATGAGCAGCATAATCACCCAGTATTCCTAGGAATGTCTTCAATTTTGCAGTCTGTTTAATGTCTTCAGTGAGTTCTCATTCGTCTCTTGGGAGAAAAGGATGTGGTGCAGGCTCCTCAGATGTATTTTTATGAACTAGTAGATAGAACAGGCTCTCTTATCATTTGGACTGAAACTTAAAAAATGCAACAGACCAATCAGAAAAGTTTTCTGATGCTACCCATGTTAATGAACATCTGTTTGCCACCACAGACATGGAGGTATCTTCATCTTCTATTACCACAGTGGCAAGTATCCCAGAAATTACACCTAAAGTGATTGATACCTGGAGACCTAAACTGACGAGCTCCCGGAAATTTGTAGTTCAAGATGACCCAAACACTTCTGATTTTACTGATTCTTTATCGGGTATCCCAAAGGGTAAGGCTTTACCAGGGAACTCATCTCTTAACTGTGTGGAAACCTGATTCCCAATCTCTCAGAGGAGTGTGCAGTTTGAAGAGGTGAATCTAAATGGAGCTGCCGCCACCACACCTCTGCCACACTGGCCATAGTGCCTTTGGTTTTCTATGGTTAAATCTGAGCACATTCCTTAAAGGAGGAAAGGCCTGGAATGCTGTTAAAGACAGCCACTCAGACAATCTAATCTGTGTTGCTTTCTCTCTGAAGAATCTGAGAACCTGTTGGTATCAAGGAATGTTGAGGATCACCTCAACATCAAAAAAGTACACTCATGAATGGCAAACACTCCGATATCAAATATTTTATCTAAGAGCCTTTCCAAGCCTCATGGTTAGCTTTAATCCAAAATGCAATTAGCAAGGAGCAAATAAGGTAAAACGTTGTGTGGATGCCACGAGCAGTAACACATAACAGAGATTGCTTCTACGATGGACCAAAAGTGATGGTATGGAGCGTTATAAAACAGTCTCGTGATGAGTTAGCTGATTAGATACAGTACTCTACAAACAAACATCTATTCCTCAGTGCCTACCAAACTGTGGTATCCGGTTTCCAATCAGTTTTTTTTGTCAATCAATGCCTTGTCATTTATGATTTACATCTGTTGATTTTTGCTTTTACATATTTTCACTATAAAGTTTTATAATCATTCTTCATTCTACTTTCTGATTTTCTTCAATAACATCATTTCTAGTTTTCTTTCTTGGTCTTTCACAATGCCACTGAATTCCATAACCATGAACATTTATTTAAAACAACTAATATTCCAAGGCCTTAGTACTGACCTAAAGCTATGTAGAATTGTCAAAACCCTCTAGCTCACTTATTCTGGGATAGCTGTGTGTATTAGCATGTAATAGACTTAGATACCTCTTAAACTAACATTTCTTTGAATGACTGTTAGGTGTCTGTGGTTGCATTAAAAATTCCAGTATTTACAAACTAATTCACTCGTCTCCTCCAGGTCTAATTTAAATAGTTCTCAACTACCTCCAGATAATGTTACGGTATTACTTACCTAATACATAAAAAATATTTCCTTACATTGTTTCCTTATACTGGGTTTCTTCTATAGCAGGTAATTCAAGAATGCTTTGCCCTGAAATGGAATGGAAAACAAGCATGAAACTTTGTACTTGTGCCTCACAATGACCAAGCAGATGCTTTTAGTTTATGAGCAAATCCTGTGTTCTTACACTAGTTAAGTTAGAATAATTCTACTAGCATAATATATGTTTATGCTAATTTATGCATCTTCCTAATCCCAGCAGCTGCTCTTTAATCCTGATTTATGAATGAAGAGAAAATCATGAGATGAAACATTTCAAGGGATTAAAACTGGCTATTTGGAAAGTACAGACCTTCTAACTATTTTTTTTAGGTGAAAGCACTATCTAACAACTACTTAAGAGAGATGAGGGGGTAAAGGACAGAAAAAAAATGTATAGCTCAATGGGAAATAGAGTTTTGCAGCAATCATACATCTCTGGAGAACCTACTGTGATGAAAGAAAAATCTCAGTAGCGTATGCTGGACCCTCCAAGCTAGGCAAGTGGGCTGTGTGAGGGGAGGGTCAGCTCCGTGGAAGCATCTCGTTCAGACATTCCTTGTGTGTCTATTGCAGGTGTCCGATGGGAAGTCCAATCTGGAGAATCCAACCAGATGGTCCACATGAATGTCCTCATCACCTGTGTCTTTGCCGCTTTCGTTTTGGGTGCTTTCATTGCTGGTGTGGCAGTATACTGCTACCGTGATATGTTTGTCCGGAAGAACAGAAAGATACATAAAGATGCAGAATCGGCACAGTCATGCACAGACTCGAGTGGAAGTTTCGCCAAACTGAATGGTCTCTTTGACAGTCCAGTCAAGGAATACCAACAGAATATTGATTCTCCTAAACTCTACAGCAACCTCCTGACCAGTCGGAAAGAGCTGCCACCCAGTGGGGATACAAAATCCATGGTAATGGACCATCGAGGCCAACCTCCAGAGCTGGCTGCTCTCCCTACGCCAGAGTCCACACCTGTGCTGCACCAGAAGCCACTACAGTCCATGAAGAGCCACTCAGACAAGCCCCATGGCCATGGAGCTTCCAGGAAGGAAACCCCTCAGTTCTTTCCTTCTAGTCCTCCACCTCATTCTCCATTAAGTCATGGGCATATCCCTAGTGCCATTGTTCTTCCAAATGCTACTCATGACTACAATACATCTTTCTCAAACTCCAATGCACACAAAGCTGAAAAGAAGCTTCAAAACCTTGATCACCCTCTTACTAAGTCGGCCAGTAAGAGAGATCACCGGCGTTCTGTGGATTCCAGAAATACCCTCAATGACCTCCTGAAGCATCTAAATGACCCAAACAGTAACCCCAAAGCCATCATGGGAGACATCCAAATGGCTCACCAGGCCCTAATGCTGGATCCCGCGGGACCAGTGTCGGAGGTCCCGCCGAAGGTCCCTAACCGGGAGGCATCACTCTACTCCCCTCCTTCAACACTGCCCAGAAATAGTCCAACCAAGAGAGTAGATGTCCCCACTACTCCTGGGGTCCCAATGACTTCCCTGGAAAGACAACGGGGTTATCACAAAAGCTCCTCACAGCGGCACTCTATATCTGCTATGCCTAAAAACTTAAACTCACCAAACGGTGTTTTGTTATCCAGACAACCTAGTGTGAACCATGGGGGATACATGCCCACCCCGACTGGGGCGAAGGTAGACTATATTCAGGGGACACCAGTGAGTGTCCACCTGCAGCCTTCCCTCTCCAGACAGAGCAGCTATACCAGTAATGGCACCCTTCCCAGGACGGGACTAAAGAGGACACCGTCCTTAAAACCTGATGTGCCACCAAAGCCTTCCTTTGTTCCTCAAACCCCATCAGTCAGACCACTGAACAAATACACCTACTAGGTCTCAAGTGTGCTATTCCCGCGTGGCTTTATCCTATCCTGTTGCTGAGAGGATGATGTTGTAAGGGGCACCTTAACACAAGAGGCTTGCTCGTATTTTAAGAGAACCAAGTGGCCAAAGAGACTCTCTTTAACTTTGGCAACATCAGAACTTGCCACATGTAGCTACTGCAGCAAAACTTCTGTGTGCTTAACTACACACAAAGGAAGGTGCTGGTAATTCCATTTCTGTGGTTGGAAGCTAAAGTGATGTGTAGCTCCCCAGGGGCTACCTTAACCAGGATAAAAGAGCTGAGAACAGTACTCAGAAGAATCTGTGAACAAATACTTGAAAATGGGTTCAATTTGAGGCTGCCATTCTGTGTGGTCTTCCCATTAAATGTGAACATTTTAATATGTATGCATTCACCTTGCCTCTTGCACAAATGTCAAAAAGAACAAAAAAAAAAGATGGTAATGTCCCGGAAAAAAAAAAAAGAGAACTTGTATATTACCCAGCAGTTTGCTAAAAAAAAAAAAAAATTCAGTCTTTGACCCCAAACTGTAGCATTTTTTTTCATGCCACTGATAAACTGTTGGAAGTGTGAGTGTGTGTGTGTGTGGGTGTGTGTGTGTGTGTGTGTGCGTGCATGCATGCACGTGTGTGTGCGTGTGTGCAGACATTTGGGAGAAAGTGAGAAAGATGTGTTCCCACTAGGATTTGTTTAGGTGCTCACTGCATCTTTTTGTGCTACGGAGTTGTTTACATTTGAGCATGACCGAACAAAAAACTAAACTTCATCCTACATCAGTCATTGGGTTCAGCTCTGAGAGCATACAATCAAAGCTCCCTGGACACTCAAAATGAAACACTCACCTGGTGTGGTACCCAATGCCAGAATGTAAGAGTTCCAAGTAAATTTTGTGCTGCTATTCATTTCAGACTTTGATTCCAGTCTTGCCCCAGCTTACAGAGCTAGAGATAGAGCTAGTAAGAGGTTATCCTTGATTCACCCATCAGTATTCAGTAGTGATACATTCATGTCCACTGTGAATCAAAGCCTGAATTACACTACTTAACCTTGGACACACTAATAAAGAGTTGATTTAGACTGTGATGAGTTCTTATCCCCTCCCCAGTATGTAAAAGTTTTCCTCCTGTAACTCCTCCTATTCTCCAAAGCAAAAGTAAAAGCAAACGTGGAAAGAAAGACAGGAAAGCATTTACAATTGAGTGACTTAGCAGGAGCTGTCTGTGCAGACCTCAGTGGTACAGTCATGTTGTCTATGTTGTGTTCATGTGAGAATTTTCTCCTAAGTCATGCAGGTAATGACAGTATACTGTAAATACCACATGTGAGTTTACCTGAATCTGTGCATTTTGTGCCTTATTCACGAGAATTATAGAATCACTACAATATGTCAAGTGTGTTGAGTATAGCACATCATTTACTGAGTGCCAGTTGTCAATGTTTTTTCAACCAGCACCTGGAAAGACTTTTAAAAAAAGAAATCATAAAAGCAACCTACAACAGTGAATTGGTAAACAATCCACTCGAATAGCAGCATTACATCTTTTGCCATGATAAAAACAAAACAAAACATTCCACTCCCACTTTCCTAAGGAGGAAATGGTATCAATGTGAAGTCAAATGGGGTTTCCCAGAGAATACATACCACCTGTGGAGACCACGGAGAGTCAGTTATAGAGTTTGGCAGGACCCTCATACAGTAGTTAAAATGCTGCACATAGCCCAACTCTGTTGAACCTAAGCTAAAAGTACCACGGCAAAGGAAGGCTCCTGATTTGTCACACAAATAAGTTCAGCTGATTTCTTGTGATAATGCTGATGAGGTTATCTGACTTGGGGGAGTATGGGATGTGAAAGACCAGATCCTTTTTATGCAGAATCTAGGCTATTGATAAGAGTTGTTCTTTTCCTTTGAGAACATTATTTGAAAAAGAATATGCTTTCCTGTGATCTCTGGAAGCTCATCTGTTTTTGAAACACTTCAGCTTTGCAACTAAAATATTACAGATTAATCATAAATTAAACCAACCAATGATAAACACTACTCAGTCCACCACCAACAAATGTGTTTGAATTTACCTTACCAATATTAATCCCAGCGTGGTAACTCTGTGTGACCCCGGATAACATTGTGCTGCCTTGTAGTTTGTAATGTGAGTTCTATCAGTATTTATGTTGAGATTTCTAACATTGACTCTAGTCTCTATTCTGTTCATTTAATTTTTTAAATGCTTTATCCATTTGTGCAAAGGTAAACACAGATTGTATCTTTTTTAATGGTACGGCATTAAAAAGTAACCCTCAGTGAAGTGGCTCTATACTGTTTTATAGAGTACTTTAACATGTATAGAGATCTTGTAAACTTGTATTGTGGATGTGTAAATAATATGTACTTTGGGTTTTTAACACCGCATGTAAAGTCAAAATAAAATATACAATCATTATATCTTGCCTCTTGGTATTAAAGAGGTTTATAGTGCATCGTATTTTAAAGTCAGTCAACACCAGCAAAAATTTCTTTAAAAAAAAAGTCTAAATATTCTTACCTGGACTATTTGCCTTCTGGTTATGGTCACACTACCATTTTCTGGTTGGAAGGCCGATACTGAAGGTCGGAACCTCTAAAAATAAATGATTTTGAAAGTCAGCTGAGCTAAGTGGCTACAACGAATACTTTGAAAGTTTGTGTCTAGTATTCCCACATGAAATTTTAAACCATTTTTGTTCAAAATGACAACTGGCATACAGGATTTGGGCTATTGCAGGTGCTTGGAATTTCTCAAATCTGTCGTTTTAATTCAATGGGTTCCATTGTCTTTCCCTTGGTTTGTACTTAACGGTGATGGCTCTCATGGTACAATGCCATTTCTTAGGGAAATATCAGTGGTGGTAGTAATTCCTGCCTTCTTGGTTCTCCACGCTTCTGCCCAGAGCCCGCTGCATGCAGTCTCTCAGTCCCCACAGGGTCTCCAGGGACCTCAGTGGCATCTCTACAGAAAAGCACACTCTGCCATATTCCTGTCTCGGATCTTATTCTCGCTCTCAGTGTCATCTAATGAGGGTTGCTGCATTTCACTACCACTTCAGCTGGGAGGTCCCTTTGTAGGCCCGTTATGGCATGTTCCAGATGAGGACAAATTTGCAAGAGAACTGGTCTGGTGGAAAATCTGTCTCTCTTCATAGTGGCCAGCACCAGAGCTGTACATGCTGCAAGGCCAGTACCCCACTGTCCTACTGCTGGCTGAGGGCGTCTCCTGTCTCACTGCGTAGCTCTTACAGCTTTGGTCAAATTGATGAAGAAATAAGACAAATACATGTGCAGTCTCTTCCAGGGCATCCCCCCCCACATTGTATTATCTTTCATTTACATTGCATTTGTCTATTCAATTAGTATTTCTTATAGCTACAACCCCCAGAGCAGTTTTTCTGGTTTCAGTAACACATTTTTTTTTCCTTCTAAAAACATGACTTTCCTCCTTTTAGGAACATTTTAGCTTTCCTCCCTCCCCCCACCATGGACATCTTGGCTAGTTTAATGGAGGCCATGGACTAAAAGCTGAATTCACTGTTCTTTTCAGTGCTAGGAATCTCCTAGCACTACATCTATGGATTCTCAAGATAAATGCTCAGATCCCATTTGAAGGAAGTATGGTAACGAAACTTGGAGCTTTTCATTGGGAATACATTATAAAGCACAAGTAAAACAAATCCACCGGGGCGGAACATTCATGATCTGGTTCTAGAAATCCTACTGACTGGACATTTAGGTTACTCTAGAAGTGGGGCCTGGCGCCGGTGGCTTATGTCTGTAATCCTAGCTACTCAGGAGGCTGAGATTGGAGGATTGCTGTTCAAAGCCAGCCCGGGCAGGAAAGGCAGTGAGATTTTTACCTCCAATTAACTACCAGAAAACCGGAAGTGGCGCTGTAGCTCAAGTGGTAGAGGGCTGGCCTTGAGCTGAAGAGCTTAGGGACAGCGCCCAGGCCCAGAGTTCAAGCCCCACAACCCCCCACCCCTGCCCCGCAAAAAAAGGCTGACACAGGCTAAGAAGAAAGAGGATCACCTATGCCCAACCATGATAGCCAAGATGCCGGGCTGAGAGAAGCCAACGTCCTTCCCTCCAGTATCACCTCAGCCATCCTCCTTGCCAGTCTGGGGCAGAGAACACAGCCCTCCCCCGCAGGCCCAATCCTCCCTCTGTCACTCTACTTCTCTCCACTTGAGTTATCCCATTTGTTAGAAGCGAAGGTTTGACATCCATTTCTTTGACAGTTCTATGGTCTCTGTCAACTTGGTAATTCTATTACTTATTTTATGAATGCTATGCTTAACTGTTCGAGTCATGCCAAGCTATTCAATAGCTTGGTTTTTAGGCTATTTATGGAGGTATGAGGTCTGTTCCCTTTTAGACATGCAATGTATGTGAAACTAGCAATAAAATAAAGCATGATAAACAATGTACCTCAAGCTATTTAGCTCAGATCTATATTGGAAGTTTACCCTTTTTGCATATATAACATGTTAAACACTTGGATCTCTACCAGGGTTGTATTCTTCATTAAATAGAGGTTATAACAAAGAGGAATGGACCTATAATAAAATTAATCTAATTCTCAGGGTGATAGGGGAGAAGTAGGTAATGTCTTGGACGGTCACACCATGAATCAAAATTCACATATAAAGGAAAATAACATATTTCTAGTCTCTATCCCATGATATAATTCTCTAAAATTAGGTATTGATTACAAGCTGATAAATTTCTACAGCATGCAATTGAATGCACTTTAAGCTCATGCTAGGTTTGGATGGAAGAAAAGATAAAAATACAGGATCTGTGTGTGTGTGTGTGTACCTTTTTTATGAATGCTCTTTATTTTGTGAGATGAACCTTTTCAATGTTACATTTGTAGAGAGACAGAGTTCAAGGCAATTAGAGTAGTGAGAAGAGGGAGTATCAGTCACTATCAAGGGGCGCAGGACATTGGAACTTTCTGGGAATGGAACTGTCCCATAGCTAGCATGGTAGCCTTGCATGGATGAGCACTGAGCACTTAGGGTGGAGCTAGTGCCTCTAATGTACTTAGTACGTGACAGACTACAGCACAGGGGCATCTGTCACAGCCCCACAGCTCTATGGAGTGATTTAACTCAGATTAAAAGATAAAATGCACCTTATAGATTGTTTTTGTATAGCTACCCTTGTACCTAGCAATAGTCTTTTCCCTAGAGACCCTCTGACAATCCTACCCTTGGGAGACTTGGGCTCACTCTTTATCACTCTGCCAGAGCTCTAGCCTGAGGTTTCTTCTCTTATTTGGAAACTATAGTAGGTGCACCTAGCAGCCTCTATTGGCCCCTCAGGCTTCTGTGAATTGCCTTATCAGAGGTTTCCTACTGCTTTGAGACCTATTCAGTCAATCTCAACACACACTT